TACATATATATAATATATATAAATATATGAAAAATTGATGTGGGTACTCAAATGAAAGGTCTCGATGAGTGTAAAATCGGGGTGAGCTTATATTTTTGAAAATGTCAGTAGTTGACAAGATACAACATCATTTCTTAATTATTGATATTTTTAAAAATATAAGCTCATCCCGGTGTTATATTCATCAAGAGCTTTCATTTGAGTACCGACATGCGTTTTTATATATTTTTCATATATACATATATATAATATATATAAATATATGAAAAATTGATGTGGGTACTCAAATGAAAGGTTTCGATAAGTTTAATATCGAGATGAGCTTATATCTTAAAAAATGTCAATAGTTCACAAGATACAAGGTCATTTCTTACATTAAATAATTAGTTTTGTTAAATTGCACTGTACTTCCTTAAATATTGACATTTTTACAAATATAAGCTCATCCCGATGTTACACTCATCAAGAGCTTTCATTTGAGTACCGACATGCGTTTTTATATATTTTTCATATATACATATATATAATATATATAAATATATGAAAAATTGATGTGAGTACTCAAATGAAAGGTCTCGATGAGTGTAACATCGGGATGAGCTTATATCTTTAAAAATGTTAATAGTTCACAAGACACAAGGTCATTTCTTGATTTGAAATTTTTTTAATAATAATTTTATTGTTAAAAAATTATAAAAAAATTTCTAATGTCTGTCAACTTCAGAGTCATTATTGATTTTAATTTATTATTAATTAATAATTATTAATTTTTCAGATGATGCAAAAATTGATGAAATTTTTAATAAATTTACAAAATCATATAAATTTAATTATTACGTAAAACCGCAAACTTTTGAATGTCAAGGATTCTTTTTAGTTTCTTCGTCTGTCAACAACTTATTGTCGGCCATCAAGAAGTAAGTTTCACAATTATATAAATATTAATTACTTAATTGATAATTTTGCGATAAAATTTTAATGTAATCAGTGAATTTTTTTTTAGCGTGCCCACAAAAATTTCAACATCAGAAATTTTGATGGTAATCGATGACACAATTGATTACTCCTCGGAATTACTCAATGTCACTCTCTATGGATATTCCAGTGTCAATGTCATCTCGAGATCTGCAAAGTGGTCATTGTCTGAAAATTATTTGTTTCCTCGTCAGTTTAAAAAAGTCTACAAGTAATTTATTATTTCATTAATTTTATTAATTAATTAAATAATTAATTTTACTTACCTAAAATATTATTATTGTTTCAGGATCGAAGAAATGAATCATCAAAGTGGCATTGTTGATCTAGAGGGCCGAGAATTGCAAGTTGCCGCTTTCTTTAATCCTCCTTTATGCTATCTTTTGACTTCGGTTAATAAAACAGTCAAGGGAATTGATGGACAATTTTTTACAGCACCAGGTTAATTATTTATTATTTTTTTTTAATTAATTAATTATTTATAATGTTATTAAAATCAGCTAACATCTGACAATTTTTTTTAATTATTAAAATCAGCTGACACTTGACTTTTTTTTTTTTAATTAATTAATAAGTTATATAAAAATTAATTTTATTATATTTGAATTAATTTTTATTTGTAATTTTGACAGGTAGAATTTTTTTATAAATTTTTATGTCATAATTTGAGAATTAAAAAAATTTTTTTGAGATTAGAAATTTTCTTAGAAATTATTTAAAAAAAAAATTATGAGTGGAATTTTTTTAAAGCATTTTTTAATTGTAATTAATTCGTTCTTAAAATGAAAAAAAAAAATTACACTTGTCAGCTAACTTCAGTATAATTAACTTTAGTATTATTTATATTGAGAGTAAAATTTTAGATTAGGAATTTTCTTCCTGAGCATTGATTAGTTTATCGCTACCTTCCATTCTAAAAAAAATATACATATAACCTCTAAGTAGGATGATTAACAATAATTTTATTTTTTGTTTATTGTATAAAAACATGAAAATTAATTAAGCAGATACTTGATAATTTTTCTATCAAAAAAATATAAGATAAAAAAATTGATGTGTAGAAATTAAAAAAAATTAAAAATAGAATTTTTTGGAAGAAATCATGAAAATTAATTTAGCAGATATTTGATAATTTTATTAGTTACTGTAGCAAATAAATTATGACAAAAAAATTGTTATGTAAAATTATTAAAAAACAAATAATGAAATTTTTTAAAAATAGTTTGTTGGAAAAATTTGTTTGTTAAAAAAAAATTATTAAATAATTAATATAATTTCAGAAAATGAAATTGATGGTATAGAAACAAAATTATTTGTTATAATTGCTGAAAGATTAAATTTTACATGGCAGATACGGAAACCAAATCATCATTACAGGTAATTTTATCAATAAATTAATAAATAATTATAATAATTATCAAATAAATTTCAGGTATGGAAGACCAAATGGAACAACCTGGAACGGAGGAATGATTGGTCAACTATTCCGTAATGAAGTAAGAACTCAATTATTAAAAAACTTAATAATTAATGATTAATTAATGTTGTTCTTAGATAGATATAGCATTCAGCGGAATCTGGTTAAAGCATGACCACTATCGCTTCGTAAATTTAACAAAACCCTGGCATCAGCTGTTCATAAATTATCTAGTCCCTCGTCCGAAACATAGATTCAGTTTTTGGGCGCTGACTCGTCCGCTGACTCCTGGGGTTTGGTTGGCAATTTTCGGGATGATTTTCCTTTATAGTCTCTACGTTTGCACCAAAGCATGGATCAATCCTCACGCGGAAATTAGGTACAGGAGTTATATCACGACCTTGATTGAATTGATTGCTCGACTGGTGGGTACTTGGGCGCCAAAAAGGGTCCAGGGTTTTAAGATCCAAACCGTGGCGTGGCACATGGCTGGTGTTTTGATTGTCACTGCGTATTCTTGTAGTTTGGCGACTGATTTAACTTTTCCGGACTTTGAAAAAAGGCGAGTAATTATAATTAATAATGATGAGGATAAATAATAAATTATAAGAATTTGCAGTAATTAGTTTTGTTATTTTTTAGGATTGATCAACTTGATCAGTTTATTTTGAAAAATCTTACCTGGGGCAGGGAAAGTCCTGTGCCAAAATTTGATGATTATTTTAATTTAAATGTAAGCTCTATTTTATTTATTTATATATAATATACGTATATCAAAGGGCGGATAAAAAAATTTTATTGCCATTCAACTCAAAATTATTCAAAAGGTTGAGGTCAATATAAAAAAATTTTTAGAATTACTAAAGCCAAGAGGATCTCTATACGCTATTTTAGCTTTAAGATACATTTTCTTAAAGCCAAAAGGGTGAAGAAAAAAAATAGATGTTTTATTACAAAAGATTGGCAAAAAGCTCGAAAAATAAATAATACTAAGGTTAGCCGAGGTTTTTAATTTTTTCATTTTTTTTATAATTAAATTATAACTAAAAAATATTTTTTAAAAATTCCACTTGGAGTTTTTAAAGTTTTTTACAAATGAAAATTTTTTTTTATTTTTTTGTAATAATTTTTTCAATAAAAAAAATTCTAAAAATTATTAAATGTCGGCTAACTTAATTTTCATGAAAAATAAAGCTAGATCAAAATAATACTCAGGGTATGAAGATCAACTAGAGATACAAAGGTACCCAATCGATTAATAAGACAATTAAATCCCAATAAAAATTTCTACGCCTTTTTGGCTTTAGATCACTAAATTTTTTAATTTATAAAGCCAAAAGGGCAAATATTTTTATAAATCCGCCCTTTTGGTTTTTGAAAATTTTTTTTTCATTTTTAAGCTTAGAATTTGCTTGCAAAAATTGGCAAAAAAAATTTTCTACGCCTTCTTGGCTTTAGATCACTAAATTTTGAAGTTCCTCAAGCCAAAAGGGCGTATAATTATAAACATACATCCTTTGGCTTACAAAAATTTTTTTATGAAAATTAAATTCCCCATTGAAAATTTTTAGAATTTTTTTATTGAAAAAATTGACATTTAGAGAATTTTAAAAATTTCAAGTGCAATTTTTAAAAAATATTTTTTTACTATGACATTAAAGTTAGCAGTCACTTGACCATTTTTTAATTTTATAACAAAAAAATTATTTTTAAAAAATTGCCATAATTTATTTGTTATATATTTAATAAATTATCAGGATAAGTACGGAAGTCAATTTCCAAAAAATTTCCAATTAGAAAAATCACAAGAAGAACGTCACGAGAAAATAATCCAAGGAAATTATGCAATAATTGGCCGTATGATCGACTCGATATTTTTTCCGGAGAATAATATCAGCAGTGATGATTTGCAGGTGAATAAATTATAATAATAATAATAATAATAATAATAATAATAATAATAATAATAATAATAATAATAAGTACCACTTATAAGAGTAAATACATCAATTTATTGATACATTACAGGATTACAGAGTAATGAAACAGTCGGTGAGCGACTATTACGTTTCATTTGCGGTGAAACCTTGGCTGGTTAAATCCTTCGACAAAGTTATTATTTATGATTATTCTTATTAAGTATTATATTGTAAGTATATTTCTTTAAGTGGATAATATAATTGATTATTATGTTCAATCATCAGGTAATTTTGTGGATGAGAGAAACTGGAATCGTTACTTATCACCTCAACGATGTGATTTACAGAAAAACACCTAAGAGTCTGCGCCAGGTGCTAGTTGAATATGACATTGAAACTGGAGCAACTCATGCTTTAGAATTACTTCCTCTAAGCGCAGCATTTGCATTTTTATTTTTCGGGCTATTTGTTTCGTCGGTAATTTTTTTTTTTGAGCTTGGAACTGTTTATGGAGACGTAGACGCTTTTAAAAATTTTGTTAAGGTACGGATGGTTAGGTTCAAAGAAAAATTTTTTCTTAAATAAAAAGAGAAAGAAGAAAATTCAATTCATATTTTTGAACAAAGAAATTTTTTAGGTTTACTGCAAAATAATCTATATAAAGAAAATGAGAAAAATTTTGTGTCTAGGATAGTCATATGATAAAATCGGTTTTTTTTAGTGAAATTTAGTGTCATTGTAAAGGTCTTGATTTTAATTTGTGCCTTTCAAGGTTTCATTTAATTTTCAGCGATAGTCAATTTATTATGACAAACATTTAGGCTGCATTCGAAAATATCTCTAGATATATAATTGAGAAATGACCTTGTATCTTGTAAACTATTGACATGCATTTTTAAAGATATAAGCTCATCTCGATATTATACTCATCAAGCCCTTTCATTTGAATACCTACATCAATTTTTCATATATTTATATATATTATATATATGTATATATGAAAAATATATCAAAAATGCATGTGGGTACTCAAATAAAAGCTCTAGATGAGTGTAACATCAGGATGAGCTTATATTTTTAAAATATATATTATATATATGTATATATGAAAAATATATAAAAAATGTATGTGGGTACTCAAATGAAAGCTCTTGATGAGGGTAACATCAGGATGAGCTTATGTCTTTAAAAACGTCAATATTTAAGAAAGTACAGTGCAATTTAACAAAACTCATTATTTAATAAAGCAAAATTATATTTATTTATAGTTTATATTACAAATCACAGCAGTCACGTAGTGACTGCATGATTGCTAGTTTGTTATAAAAATATTAAGAATTTTTTTTTTTTATGGCAATAATTAAAAAAATTTATTTTTACAAATTATTGATGACAAAAATTTGATATTTTTTTTTATTTATTAAAAGTTAAAAAAATTTTTTCATATTCCCGGTAAAAAATCAAACTTATTTTAAAATTTTCACACCAAAAAAATTAAATTGCAGTAAAACTAAACAATTATCAAAAATTCTTCATAAATTGAATATTTTAAATTCCACATAATTAATTAAAAAACAAATAATCATTTATTACTTCTTGTATGCCACTTAAAAAAATTTTTTTTTCCAAATATCAAGACTATACTTAAGCCGAAAACAATACAATATAAAAGATAAAAAAAAAGTCATTAGTATATTGAATGGCCTAAAAAAAAAAGCCTTGAAATTGATTCTCTATCAATATTCTCTATATTTACTATAGTAAAAGAAATTAATTAACACGCGATACGGCCGAAGGTATCATTGAAGAAAAAAATCTAGTTGCATGTGCATCAACCGAAAGAAAATTAACGTGTTTATGTAAACTGTTGATAACATAAATTAACATTATTAATAAATTGTAATTGCAAACTCCCGCGAATATATATGACGTCGATAATATTTTGTTTTTATTTGATACAAAAAATATCGCTTGCAGCAATAAAGATACCGGTTTTACTATAGTGCGTTATAATCAACGGAATCAAACTGTAAAGTCATCTCAAATGTATGTGTGGTAGAGATGCGAATAAATATATAAATATATCCAGCGAACTTTGTCGCCAATTTAATACTCCAGTTGCTGTAACACGCATTTACAATTCAGCTAGTCGTGCAAGAGCTTTTATTGTCATAAATTATTCAAGATGCTGAGGAAAAAAAGTTAATATTTATTTAAATTATTTAATTAATCTTAATAGTAAATTAATTAAATTTTTTTATTTTTTTAGGAGAAGAAAATCTGGACCAACGCTTGGAGGATTTATTGACGGATAAGAGTTTTATTCAATCGAATTATTCGAATGTCAGTAAAGAAAATTTGCCTGACTGGTATGATGAAAAATTATTCAAACAGTAAGATTTTTTTTTTTTATTTTTGTTAAATAATTTTTATTTATTAATTTTTTATTTATTTATTTATTTATTTGTTTAGAGGCTTATTAATGAGGTGTTGTAAGTAGATAAAAAATTAATTAAGATTGATATTTTTAAAAGTATGGAAAAAAACAGTAAATAGTTTTTTAAGATATTAATTGTTGAAGATATTAATTAATTTAATTGATCTGTTTGGTTGATGATCAATCAATTTAATTTTTTTGTAAAAATTTATTCAAAATTTTTTTACAAAAAAAATAAAAAAAAAATTTATTCAATTTAGATTTAGAAATTTAATTTTTATATTATAAAAATTTAATGTAAATTTACAAATTAATTTGTAAATTTTACATTTAAAAAATTAGAAAAGAGGGAAAGGGTGCAAAGGGGAACCCTAAAAATTTTGTAAAAAAAAATTTATTTCTTCTAAAAGCTCTAAAAATAAACAATATAAGGTAAAAGCCCCAATTATTGACAGGGGTCTAAATATTGACACCCTAAATTATTTTTAAATATATTTAATTATCTGTAATAAGAATAACTATCATATAAATTTTTATTAAATTTTAATTAATTAAAAAATTGAAAAAAATTACTATTCAAAATATTAAATATTAATTATTAAAAAAAAATAAAGAGCGCGAGATCAAACCTTACGAACGTTTATTTTCTTAACAACTTTGATTAGAAAAGCATTTTTTTTAAATGCTGTTTAAATTAATTTCTTCATCTAATTATATGATCTTTTTTTTTTTAATTAACAATATATGAAAAATTTATAAAATTGAATAATGGAAATTAATTGTTTCCTTTATAATATTTAAATAATGTATGTCAATAACTAGTTGATAATTTTTAAGTTGAATCTCATATTGACAGCCAGTCGACAGCGCTAAGCCTTTTTTTTACTTTGACCTAAAAAATTAACTGTAAGAGTTTGAACTCTTCTGATTCAATAAATTATTTTTAAATTAATTTTTATATTTTTAAAAGTAATTAATCATTTATGGAAATTATTATTAATAAACTTTAATAATATTGATTACTTAATAATAAGTTTCGATAAATAAGAATAAGCAGATGATTCGGCGCATGCGCAGTATAGGTGTCAATAATTGGGGCTAAGGTATGTCATTAATTAGATCAATCAATTTTTTTAACCTGTCAATCAGTGTATCCGGATACTCTATTTAATTATTTAAAATTAATTAGTAAATATCAGTGATTATCATTTTAAAAAAAGAAATTGATTAGTAAAAACATTACTTGAGACATTACCACAAACAAAATTCAACGATATTGATATTTGATTGCTTGAAAAAAATTACATCATAACTTTGTCCAATAGTGTCAATAATTAGGGCTTTTACCTTATGACTTTATTAAAAAATGTAAACTACATCATCAATTATGTAATTTAAATTCTATATAATTTTATCAAAATAATATATTATAAAAATAATTTCAGAGGCCAGGATTATTTCTCCAGAAATGTGTTATCGATGAGCGCTGCCGCCTTGACTGGATTAATAACAGTTTTGACAATACCGACAACTTTGGATGTAAGATAATAACAATAACTTAAAAGATAAAAAAAAAAACAATTTTAAATGGTGAAAAAAATTGACTGTAGATCCTGGTATTCACCAAGAGGAGCGGGTGTCCTCGCACAGCTTATCGGAGATATTTTGAAACGATTTTACATATATACTCATTGTATACCTCGGATATTGATGATCCCAAGTCAAGGTAATCCGATTAAGCCAGACATATTTAAAAATTCTGCAATTAAAATTTTAAATTACTTATCATTATTTATCTATTTAATTATGTAGATTTTGGAAGTCTCTCAACACGATTAGATGGAAGCACTCAACTAACAGCAAAGTAGCTGGAGAAAATGGCGTCGGTTTTATATCCCAGCGCGACATGGCGCTCACACAGTTTGGATTTATTGGATACGCGCTTTTACAACCTGATAAATTGGGTCTTACCAATGATAAAGCCGGGAGAGAAGGATTGAATCACTTCTGGCGGGTGATTGGCTTTATGATTGATATTTCCAACAAGTATATCTTCTTTTTTTAATTTAATTTACTTGAAATTCATTAATTGTAGATTAATTATTTATGCTAATAATTTATTGTATATTAATTTAATGTAAATTAATTATTTATGATATTACAGCGTTAATATTTGTCGAGAATCTGAAGAACAAACGACGGAATTTTGTCGTAAATTATTGGAACGAGTATTCACAAAATGGATGACTGATACGCCTAAGCATTTTAATAAAATGATTGATGCTATGTTGGAAGGGCTTTGGTATGTCGATGTTGTATTAGATGCTGACGCTATGATGTATTTTTGGTATGATCTTAATGGTCTAACATGTAAGTTTATTAAAAAATTATATTTTTATTTTTTAATTAAAAATTCTTTAAGAAAAAAATTTTTTTATATAAATTTTGAATATTCCATTTTAAATTTCGCGGTTAATAATGTTTGCGCATGCGCAGAAGGACTGGAACTGCGCGAACAGCTTCTGCGCATACGCAAGAACCGTTCCCGCGCATGCGCAACCGTTTTTGATAAAATAATGTATTTTTAAAAGGTAAAAACAATTATTAAGATGAAATTGTATAAAATTTATATTATAATTAATTATTTTTCATATAAATTATAATTAATTTAATTAAAAAAAAATAAATAATAATTAAGTAGCAAATTTTCTAACTCCATGTTAGAAAATTTTCTATTTGTGTGAAAAAACAATTAGTTGAAAATTTATTATCACTTTAAAAAATAATTTAATATCTAAAAGTATAATATTTTGGTTTGGATCATTCAAATAATTTATAATTAGAATATTACTACATCAAAATGTTAAAAAATCACCTTTTAAAAAATAAGGAGACCAATTGCTAATTAGACCGTCGATATTGTAAATAAACTTTAAATGTTCCATTATTTCAAATTTCACGGTTAATATTTTTTGCACATGCGCAGTAGGGCTGGAACTGCGGGAACAGATTCTGCGCATGCGCAAGAACTGTTCCCATGCATGCGCAATTGTTTTTGATAAGATAACCTATTTGAAAAAGGTAAAAACCGTTTTTAACATAAAATTGTATGAAATTTATGTTGTTTATATTATAAAAGAAATATTTTTTATATAAATTATAATTAATTTGATTAAAAAAAAAAAATAATTATTCCTATGTATTGCAAATACATTTTAAATGTTTCATTATTTTAAATTTCGCGGTTAATATTTTTTGCGCATGCGCAAGAACTGTTCCCGTGTTTTTACAATTGCTTTTGATAACAAAAATTTATTTTTAAAAAGTAAAAACAATTATTAAAATAAAATTACATGTAATTATGTTGTTTATATTATAAAAGAAATTTTTCATGTAAATTATAATTAATTTGATTAAAAAATATAATTCTTTATAAATATTATAAATAAATTTAAAATCTTTCATTAATTTAAATTTCGCGCTGGAACTGCGCAAAGAGATTCTGCGCATGCGCAAGAACTGTTCCCGCGCATGCGCAATTGTTTTTGACAACAAAACCTATTTTAAAAAGAAAAAAACAATTATTAAGATAAAATTATAGAACATTAGTTGTTTATATTATAAAAAAAAATAATTTTTATATAAATTATAATTAATTTTCTTGTTGCAGATAACAAACCCTTGAGTTGGTACAGTAAATTTAATTATGCATACCGAAAATCAATTATTTTCATACTTGGTAATATAAAAAAAAATTATTAACTTAAATTAAAGTATAAATAATAAATAATAATTATATAAAAAATTTTCAGGTGTTCCTTTTATTGGACAGCTAGTAAGAGTCGGATTTAATAACTACTTAAAATTAACCTATTGGTTCCTGGAACGCTGGCCTGTAATTGCATGGCTGAAGTTCGGCTCTGAAGACAGCAGGATAAATTTGTATCCAATATCGACTTAATAATTATAATTATTAATTACAAATGCGATGGATAAGTAAATGAAGAAGAAATAGAATAAATTAAAATCAACGGATGTTTATTGAAAAATGAAAACAAAATTAACAAGTCAGGAAATTGGCACACAGTAGAAGACTAAGAAAGTAATTGTGTAAATTCACTTGGGAAGATGTTCACCATTTGGTTGGAATCCATTCTCGTCAGCGACGTAGGTGACGGTGTAAGCACGACCTTCTTGGTCGAGCCAGGTGTAGCTACCACGGACAACGTACGATGGAGATTCAGCTCCTGGGACGGTTCTCAATTCACCTGATTCTTCTTTTTGTTGTCCGTCAGACAGTTCGTAGCTGTAGCGGTAGTTGTCGAATCCGATGTTATCATTCTCGTATGATTTTACCACCGTGACTTCACCTTGGGGAGCAGCTACTGCTACGGCCACGAGGGCAAACAGGCCGATGATCTGTTTTTTATAAATAATTTTATTAGTTTTTTTATCAATTTTATAATTTTTTTTTTAATTTAAAAATATTTTCAATCATAAGAAATTGATTTTATAAAATTTTATAAAGTTTTTAATAAACTGAATAATCTATATTAAAAGAATAAGAAAAATTTTGTATCCATGATAGTCATATGATAAAATCCGTTTTTTTAAGTGAAATTTAATTTCTCTAGATACATAATTAAGAAATGACCTTATATCTTGTGAAATATTGACATTTTTGAAGATATAAGCTCATCTCGATGTAACACTCATCGAGACCTTTCATTTGAGTACCCACATCAATTTTTCATATATTTTATATATTTATATATTTCACAAATACCATATATAGAAAATATATAAAAAAATGCCATGTAGGTACTCAAATGAAAGGTCTCGATGAGTGTAACATTGAAACAACTTTGTATCTTAAAAAATGTCAATAATTAAGAAATGACATTGTATCTTGTCAACTAATGACATTTTTAAAAATATAAGCTCATCTTGAAGTTACACTTATCGAGACCTTTCATTTGAGTACCCACATCAATTTTTCATATATTCTATATATCTATATGTATCATATATATGTATAAATGAAAAATATATCAAAAATGCATGTAGGTACTCAAATGAAAGCTCTTAATGAGTGTAACATCATAATGAGATTATATCTTTAAAAAAATCATAAGTTGACAAAATACAATATAATTTCTTAAATATTGACATTTTTAAAGATATAAGCTCATCCCGATGTTACACTCATCAAGACCTTTCATTTAAGTACCCACATCAATTTTTCATATATTTTATATATTTATATATATCATATATATGTATATATGAAAAATATATCAAAAATGCATGTGGGTACTCAAATAAAAGCTCTTGACGAGTGTAACATCAGAGTGAGCTTATATCTTAAAAAACGTCAATATTTAAGAAAGTACCGTTTAATTTAACAAAATTCATTATTTAATAAAGCAAAATTTAATTTTTTTATTTCACAAATCACGGCAGTCACGTAGTGACTGCAAGGTTGTTAGTTTTAAATAATTAAAAAATTTTTTTATAATTGAAAAATATTTTTAAATATAAAATATCAATTTTAAAAAACTGAATAATTTTATTCTAATAAAATTCACTTAAAATAAAAAAAATTCACAATAATTTTAATAAAAAAAATATCACGCACCATTTTCATGATGATTTTTTGTCTAGTTGATCAAGTAGGCTTGAACAAAATAAAAACTGTAGCTCTTCATCTCGACACGGTGAGTTTATATACTCCGAAAAAAACTAGGACCGGCTCCCACCAAAATTTAATGACCTTCCCACTACAAAACTAATACCTGGGCCTATTGCCGAAATTATTATTATAATTACACTAAACCCGAAATACATAAAAAAAAAATATATAGTGTTACGAAATGAAGATGTGTATGTATATATTAAATATTATAATAATTGTAATTATGATTATAAAATAAAAAAAAAAAAAAGGTGAAGATGATTAATAGGCGCTGTACGGAAGTATTCAAAGTCATCTATAAAATGTTAACTGCAATTTAAATAAAAAATATCTATTGAATAAATAATTATAAAAATTAATAATTACTTATACGTGAATAATAAGGTAATTAAATACAAAAAAAAAAATTAGATATTATTATTGAAAGGCTTTTTGCATTGTAAATATCACCGAGGCTGGTGATGAATTATGATTGCACTGCCAATGTGTAAATAAAAATAATTGTAAATAATTACAGAAAAATTTGATTTTTTTTTTGTTAAATAAAATTAAAAAATTGTCAAGTGACTGATAACTTTAATGTCATAGTAAAAAAATATTTTTTAAAAATTGCACTTGAAATTTTTAAAATTTTCTAAATGTCAATTTTTTCAATAAAAAAATTCTAAAAATTTTCAATGGGTAATTTAATTTTCATAAAAAAATTTTTGTAAGCCAAAGGATGTATGTTTATAATTATACGCCCTTCAATTTAAATTTATTTTTTCTTCTTAACTTTTTCTACTTTTTCACTTTACTATTTCTTATTTAAGATGTTTCTACTCATTTTTAATTTAACTATTTATTTAATTGAGGTATTTCTTCTATTTAAACTTATTATTTCTTCTGATTTACTTTTTCTTCTTTCTCACTTTAATATTTCGTCTATTAAATTTTACTATTTATTTTTAATTTAACTATTTATTTTATTGAGCTATTTCTTCTTATTTACTTTTTCTTCGAAATTATCATATCTATTTCTTCTATTTAAATTGATTATTTCTTTTAATTTTTTCTTCTTCTTTAAATTTTACAATTTATTTTTAATTCAACTATTATATGTTATTGAGCTATTTCTTCTATTTTACTATAATATTTCTTCAATTTAAATTTATTTTTTCTTCTTAACTTTTTCTACTTTTTCACTTTACTATTTCTTATTTAAGATGTTTCTACTCATTTTTAATTTAACTATTTATTTAATTGAGGTATTTCTTCTATTTAAACTTATTATTTCTTCTGATTTACTTTTTCTTCTTTCTCACTTTAATATTTCGTCTATTAAATTTTACTATTTATTTTTAATTTAACTATTTATTTTATTGAGCTATTTCTTCTTATTTACTTTTTCTTCGAAATTATCATATCTATTTCTTCTATTTAAATTGATTATTTCTTTTAATTTTTTCTTCTTCTTTAAATTTTACAATTTATTTTTAATTCAACTATTATATGTTATTGAGCTATTTCTTCTATTTTACTATAATATTTCTTCAATTTAAATTTATTTTTTCTTCTTAACTTTTTCTACTTTTTCACTTTACTATTTCTTATTTAAGATGTTTCTACTCATTTTTAATTTAACTATTTATTTAATTGAGGTATTTCTTCTATTTAAACTTATTATTTCTTCTGATTTACTTTTTCTTCTTTCTCACTTTAATATTTCGTCTATTAAATTTTACTATTTATTTTTAATTTAACTATTTATTTTATTGAGCTATTTCTTCTTATTTACTTTTTCTTCGAAATTATCATATCTATTTCTTCTATTTAAATTGATTATTTCTTTTAATTTTTTCTTCTTCTTTAAATTTTACAATTTATTTTTAATTCAACTATTATATGTTATTGAGCTATTTCTTCTATTTTACTATAATATTTCTTCAATTTAAATTTATTTTTTCTTCTTAACTTTTTCTACTTTTTCACTTTACTATTTCTTATTTAAGATGTTTCTACTCATTTTTAATTTAACTATTTATTTAATTGAGGTATTTCTTCTATTTAAACTTATTATTTCTTCTGATTTACTTTTTCTTCTTTCTCACTTTAATATTTCGTCTATTAAATTTTACTATTTATTTTTAATTTAACTATTTATTTTATTGAGCTATTTCTTCTTATTTACTTTTTCTTCGAAATTATCATATCTATTTCTTCTATTTAAATTGATTATTTCTTTTAATTTTTTCTTCTTCTTTAAATTTTACAATTTATTTTTAATTCAACTATTATATGTTATTGAGCTATTTCTTCTATTTTACTATAATATTTCTTCAATTTAAATTTATTTTTTCTTCTTAACTTTTTCTACTTTTTCACTTTACTATTTCTTATTTAAGATGTTTCTACTCATTTTTAATTTAACTATTTATTTAATTGAGGTATTTCTTCTATTTAAACTTATTATTTCTTCTGATTTACTTTTTCTTCTTTCTCACTTTAATATTTCGTCTATTAAATTTTACTATTTATTTTTAATTTAACTATTTATTTTATTGAGCTATTTCTTCTTATTTACTTTTTCTTCGAAATTATCATATCTATTTCTTCTATTTAAATTGATTATTTCTTTTAATTTTTTCTTCTTCTTTAAATTTTACAATTTATTTTTAATTCAACTATTATATGTTATTGAGCTATTTCTTCTATTTTACTATAATATTTCTTCAATTTAAATTTATTTTTTCTTCTTAACTTTTTCTACTTTTTCACTTTACTATTTCTTATTTAAGATGTTTCTACTCATTTTTAATTTAACTATTTATTTAATTGAGGTATTTCTTCTATTTAAACTTATTATTTCTTCTGATTTACTTTTTCTTCTTTCTCACTTTAATATTTCGTCTATTAAATTTTACTATTTATTTTTAATTTAACTATTTATTTTATTGAGCTATTTCTTCTTATTTACTTTTTCTTCGAAATTATCATATCTATTTCTTCTATTTAAATTGATTATTTCTTTTAATTTTTTCTTCTTCTTTAAATTTTACAATTTATTTTTAATTCAACTATTATATGTTATTGAGCTATTTCTTCTATTTTACTATAATATTTCTTCAATTTAAATTTATTTTTTCTTCTTAACTTTTTCTACTTTTTCACTTTACTATTTCTTATTTAAGATGTTTCTACTCATTTTTAATTTAACTATTTATTTAATTGAGGTATTTCTTCTATTTAAACTTATTATTTCTTCTGATTTACTTTTTCTTCTTTCTCACTTTAATATTTCGTCTATTAAATTTTACTATTTATTTTTAATTTAACTATTTATTTTATTGAGCTATTTCTTCTTATTTACTTTTTCTTCGAAATTATCATATCTATTTCTTCTATTTAAATTGATTATTTCTTTTAATTTTTTCTTCTTCTTTAAATTTTACAATTTATTTTTAATTCAACTATTATATGTTATTGAGCTATTTCTTCTATTTTACTATAATATTTCTTCAATTTAAATTTATTTTTTCTTCTTAACTTTTTCTACTTTTTCACTTTACTATTTCTTATTTAAGATGTTTCTACTCATTTTTAATTTAACTATTTATTTAATTGAGGTATTTCTTCTATTTAAACTTATTATTTCTTCTGATTTACTTTTTCTTCTTTCTCACTTTAATATTTCGTCTATTAAATTTTACTATTTATTTTTAATTTAACTATTTATTTTATTGAGCTATTTCTTCTTATTTACTTTTTCTTCGAAATTATCATATCTATTTCTTCTATTTAAATTGATTATTTCTTTTAATTTTTTCTTCTTCTTTAAATTTTACAATTTATTTTTAATTCAACTATTATATGTTATTGAGCTATTTCTTCTATTTTACTATAATATTTCTTCAATTTAAATTTATTTTTTCTTCTTAACTTTTTCTACTTTTTCACTTTACTATTTCTTATTTAAGATGTTTCTACTCATTTTTAATTTAACTATTTATTTAATTGAGGTATTTCTTCTATTTAAACTTATTATTTCTTCTGATTTACTTTTTCTTCTTTCTCACTTTAATATTTCGTCTATTAAATTTTACTATTTATTTTTAATTTAACTATTTATTTTATTGAGCTATTTCTTCTTATTTACTTTTTCTTCGAAATTATCATATCTATTTCTTCTATTTAAATTGATTATTTCTTTTAATTTTTTCTTCTTCTTTAAATTTTACAATTTATTTTTAATTCAACTATTATATGTTATTGAGCTATTTCTTCTATTTTACTATAATATTTCTTCAATTTAAATTTATTTTTTCTTCTTAACTTTTTCTACTTTTTCACTTTACTATTTCTTATTTAAGATGTTTCTACTCATTTTTAATTTAACTATTTATTTAATTGAGGTATTTCTTCTATTTAAACTTATTATTTCTTCTGATTTACTTTTTCTTCTTTCTCACTTTAATATTTCGTCTATTAAATTTTACTATTTATTTTTAATTTAACTATTTATTTTATTGAGCTATTTCTTCTTATTTATTTTTTCTTCTAAATTATCATATCTATTTCTTCTATTTAAATTGATTATTTCTTCTAATTTCCTTCTTCTTCTTTCTCACCTTTCTCTTTCTTCTATTAAAATTTTACTTTTCATTTTTAATTTTATTTATTATGTCTTCTAGTTTATTTTACTGTTTTCTCAGTATAATTTTAATATTTCTTCTTTCTTACTTTACTATTTATTCTATTTAATTTTACTATTTATTATATATTATTATTTCTTCATTCTTCTTTTTTTAGATTTCTGTATTATTATTTCTTCTAATTCACTTTTTCTTCTTTCTCACTTTACTATTTATTCCATTAAATTTTGTTATTTCTTCAATTAAATTTTAAAATCCATTTTATTTATCTATTTCTTCAATTTTACTATTTTTTTTTTATTTTGCACTTCTTCAATTTCAAATTCACTTACTCTTTTTTGCCATAAAAAATCCAAAAGATTATTAATATTTCTTCTCTAATTATGCAGATTTTTATTTAATTTCAAAGAAGATATATTCATTAACATATATTAAAAAAATGAATGAATATTATTATTCATAAAGAAGAAATATTAGAATTAATAAAAATTTACTCTTTAAAATAATTCCTTCAATTTTTTGAAAAAAAATTTTTTTTTTTGAAATTTTTTTTAAATAAAATTTTATGTAATCAATTTAAACAATTATCAAAAAATCCAATAAAAAAAATTTCTGTCAATTTTTTTCTATCAAAAAATTTCTTCTTTTTATTTTAAAAAATTCCATCCAATTTTTTTCATTAAATAATTTCTTCATAATAATTTTAAAAAATGTCATTAAATTATTTTCATAAAATAATTTCTTCTTTCTTCTCGATTGAAACCTTGTCAACAATTTTCATACGTCAATTTAAATAAACCACCAAATAGATAACCATTATTACCATTACATATTACACATTACATTACATTACAGATTTAAAGAAGCATCGTTACCTTGTTAACGATTTCGTCATGAAAAACGTCATCATCAGTAGGAAGATAACTATGAGAAGATGAGTCGAGATGAGTTGTTGGATGTCTCTAGTTGCTTTTACTTTCTAAGCCAGATACTTATTTTAAATATTTTTTTATCACCAGGTCAAAGGTCGAGTAAATGTTGCGCGTCATTAAATTTTTTAACGTCCATAAATTTATGAATTTTCGTTACCTAATTTTTATAATTCATCATTGTGGTAATTGTCAATAATGTCATTAGTGACATGATGAATTAACGGATTCCGTTTACGCCTCGAGTAAATTACCGGGTGGCATCCTCTATTCTGATAGGAGGAGGATGCACCTGGATGCAATCCTTTTTATTTTTCACCTAAAGTAGTGGGAGATTATTTTTTCCCCTCAGTATATAAAGGTACGGTGTTAGAAGCAATTCTGTGTGTATCTAACGTTCCTCAAGCTCAAAACACTTCTAAGAATTGTTTTTGTTAATTTACATTTTTTTATCTTAACGCGAGTTATATCAAATATTAAAATGCGAACGGTGGGTTTTTTGCTTATTTAAATTCACTTTTTTTTTTTTTTTTTTTATATCAACTTGTCTGACAGTGAAAGTGATGGCTAGATTTTTTGTGGTTCTACTTTCAAAAAAAGATTTTTTTTTGTGTTACTTTTTATTAGAAATTTTTTTTTAAGAGTGAATGTTTTAATTTTTAAATAATAATTATTTAAAAAAAATTAAGAAGTTAATTAGTTTGAAATTTATGATGTAGATATTTATTAATATTTCAATTAGAAAAAAAAAAAATTATTTTAATAAGTTTATTAATTTTTAAGATATTAATAATTCGCGAAATTTGTAAAAAAAATTTCAAGGCTTTAGAATTATAAATTATATTAAAATTATGAATTAAATTAAAGCTGAAAATTTTTAATTTTTTGGTAAAAAAAATTTTTGAAAAATATAAAATGGTAAAAATTTTAAAAAAATTTTTAAAAATACAATTTGATACAAATTTTAAATAAATAAAAAAATACTTGCAATCTTGCAGTCACTATGTGACTACCGTGACTTGTGAACTATAAATAAATAAAATTTTGCATTATTAAATAATTACTTTTGTTAAATTGAACTGTACTTTCTAAAATATTGATGTTTTTAAAGATATAAACTCATCCTGATGTTACACTCATCAAGAGCTTTCATTTGAGTACCCACATGCATTTATATATATATATATTTTAAAGATATAAGCTCATCCCGATGTTACACTCATCAAGAGCTTTCATTTGAGTACCCACATGAATTTTGAGATATTTTTTATATATACATATATATAATATAAATAAATATATAAAATATATGAAAAATGGATGTGACTACTCAAATGAAAGGTCTCGATGAATGTAACATCAGGGTGAGCTTATATCTTTAAAAATGTCAATAGTTCACTAGATAAAAGGTCATTTCTTAATTATATATCTAGAGATAGAGTATTTCCGAATGTAGCCTAAATACTTATGATAATAAATTGTCTATCGGTGATAATTATATGGAACTTCAAAAAGACACAAATTAAAGTCAAGACCTTTGCAATTACACTAAAAAACCCGATTTTATCATATGAATATTCTGGAAACAAAATTTTTCTTATTCTCTTAATGTAGATTATTTGATAAAAATAAAAAAAAATACAACCTGATAAAAATTATAAAAAAATACAATTTGATAAAAATAAAAAAAAATGTATAAAAATCTAATTTGATAAAATACAAAATTAAAAAAAATATATATATAAAAAAAATACAGTTTGCTAAAAAAATAAAAAAAAAAACAATTTTATAAAAATTAAAAAAAAAAAAACATAATTTGATAAAAAAAATATTAAAAAAATTTTTTATAAAAATCTAGATAGTAATCCTGTTAGTCCTGGCATCAGTTGCATCTCTTGGCCTGGCAGCACCCGCACCCCAGCAAGAAATAACAATAATCCGTCAGGAAGAGAACAACAGTATCGGAGTAGGAGGTTACCATTTTTCCTACGAGCAGAGTGATGGACAAAAACGAGACGAAACAGCGGAGCTCGAGAATGAAGGCACCGACGACGAAGCGATGAAAATCACCGGTAGCTACAGTTTCGTCGCGCCCGATGGTAAAACCTACAGGGTAGATTACACCGCTGACCGCGACGGCTACCACCCCGTGATCACCCTCGCGTAATGACCTCATAAATCAACCAACCAACCACCAGACATTTAATAAAAAACAAAGTAAAATAAAACTAACATATTAAATGTCTATCTGTGCATAATGTATAAAAATAAATGATTTATATCTCCTGCATTTATAATTCATTTTAATACAAAATATCAATTTCCACTCCTTACAAATTTTTATAAAAAAAAAAAACACTTGGTTAGTCGAGTACTTGGTGCTAATTGCTATATTAGTTAAACTCTTAATCGTCATGGTAAACAATACCGATTAATTAATTAATCACTTAGTTTAATTATATATATACATATTTTTTAATTGCATCTGCGCTTACGCAATAAATCAATTGCTCAACCAGAAAAAAATTTTTCACGATATTTTAACACACTATGATTATATAATTGACTATATATTAATACTATATGTTTTATAATAATAAATGTTATTATTATTTTATTAAAAAAATTATTAATAGTTACGCGTAATCGTCGCTTAATGTGCTGCAGACATTCCTCCCCATGCTCGGATCAAATTCAGCGTCTGATTGAGCTTTGAACACCATTGCAGTCGCTCTTCTTTCGTGTCAGCCGACAGTAAATGCCTACAATTTAATTGTACATTATTATTATTTAATTACAGCAATTAAATTATCTAAGAGAGAGGTATTTTAGTCCTTTGAAGATGATTATAGGAAATATTAATTTTAAGGAGTTCAAAACGTAAAGGTCAATATAAAAAAAATTTTTTAAATTACTAAAGCCAAAAGCGAATCTCTATACGCCCTTTTGGCTTTAAGATAAATTTTCTTAAAGCCAAAAGGGCGAAGAAAAAAAATAGATGTTTTAATACAAAAGATTAGCAACAAGCTCGAAAAATAAATAATACTAAGGTTAGCCGACGTTTTTAATTTTTTCATTTTTTTTATCATTAAATTAAAACTAAAAAATATTTTTTAAAAATTGCACTTGGAATTTTTAAAGTTTTTAACAAATGAAAATTTTTTTTTATTTTTTTGTAATAATTTTTTCAATAAAAAATTCTAAAAATTATTAGATGTCGGCTAACTTAATTTTCATGAAAAATAAAGCTAGATCAAAATAATACTCAGGGTAT